ACATGTGTATATCTTGGTAACCGCTGCACCAATTTCTTCCAAACTTGGCACAGTTATTGGCCTTGGTACAGCATACCAAAAGGCCGATAATTTTTAAAATCGGACAATAACCACGCCCACAGTCCACAGGGTAATTTAGAGAAATACGAAATCTTCGATAAATCAGTAAATATTAAAGCTAATTTATTCAAAATTGACGTTTGCAACAATTCTTTACCAAGAAATACGTTTATGGTAAAATTTTGGAAAATGGGCGTGGCACCGCCAACTTATGATCACATATATGTATATCGGTAACCGTTCTACCAATTTGTGCCAAACTCGGTATGGTTATTGTGCTTGCCACATAAAAGCAAGGCGTTGAAAATTATTGAAATCGCACTAAAATTACTGCCGCTTTTCATATAACGGTAAATTTCAGAAATGATTGAAACCATGGGCGTAGCCAGGTAGGGGCAGGGGGTGCTCGAGCCCCCGCCCCCCTAATTTTCCTTATATATATATAAAATAGTACCCTGAAATACCAGCTTAATAGGGTCGAGCCCCCCCTAAATTTCATTCTGGCTACGCCGATGCTTAAAACTTCAATATTTCGAAATTTAAGGACGCTAATTTACTCAAAATTGATACACCCCGGCTTACCATGTAGCGGTAGCTTTCGGAAAGGTGAAAAAGATATATGTATTTAATACTTGCGCCGGGTATTTAATGTTCGGCTCCGCCCGAACTTAGTCTTTCTTACTTGTTCATATTAAAAAAAAAAACCGGAACGCCCTCCAAATCTAAAAAATCAACGGTAATTTTTAACGACTTGAGACTTGCACTTTCTTAGACAACAATTAAATGGGCTACAGAACTGCATACCCGACAATTTTCTAAATATTCTGATTAAAAATTTGGAAATTTTGACGACAATTTTTCGAAGTTTGATTAATTTTTTTTTGCTATTTTCGCAAGCTTGGGAACTTGTATTATTGTGGTTTCTGTTACAGATTGAATTATATCTTAAATGAAACTTATTAAAAATAAAAAAAATAACATTATTTTCAAACAATATCATTTTAAATTTCGTTTCTAATTAGTTGAACGCAGGTGTACATATACATGTACATATACTATACATACATATATACATACTTGTACATAAATATCTGTATATGTACAGCCGCGGAAAATTATTGACACAGAATTGAATGGGCTATGAAACTGCATGTTAGAGTTTTTCCAAAAAATCTGATTAAAAGTTGCAAATATGTATACAAATTTACTGAACTTTCCTTCGTTTTGCACAAAGTTTAGAGATTTCATTTTTATGTTTTTTGTTGCAGTATGAACAGTATTTTTTCAAAAAAGTTGCCGAAAAAATAAAGAGAAAAAAATTTTGCATACATTAGGAAAAATTCCGTGTTAATAATTTTGCGCGGCACTTTACGCAGTTGTTTAAATTTACATACATCTACAAAACGTATAATATCAATTCATTTAACACTTAAGTTTTTTTTATTTCGTTTATAAGATAACATTTCATTGTGTTATAACAGTTCATGTTCACACGCCTGGTAGAATAAGTCCTTTTTTAAATATTCACAAAGTTTTTCATGTTATGTTCATGAGCATGAAATGGTATTATAACTTTGGTCCGATGTTTGTAAGTACCACAATAAGAAGAGATAGACCCATTAAAATGTATACTTAAATGATCAGAACGTCGAGCTGAGTCGATTTAGCCATGTCCGTCTGTCTGTCTGTCTGTCTGCCTGTCCGTCTGCTTGTATGCAATCTAGTCTCTCAGTTTTCGAAATATCCGGATGAAATTTTGTAGGTGGGTGTATTTTTATAATTTATTAATCATTTGTCGGAACCGGAAGAATCGGACCACTATAACATATATCTCCCATACAACTGATTGTTCAGTTATGAGAATTTTCGTTATAACTCTTCCATTTATGCAGCTGGAAACATGGCATTTCGCAATATTTCCAATCGTTATCAAAAAAATTCTTATGGTGAAAATGGCGAAGATCGGGTCGCTATAACCTATAGCCCCCATACAACTGATTGTTCAGATATGAGATTTTTTGCGACAACTTTTCCATTTATGCAGCTAAGAACATGAAAATTCGCGCCGTTTTCACTCATTGTTAACAGAATACTTATAGTGAAAATAACAAAGATCGGGTCACTATAACATATATCTCCCATACAACTGATTGTTCAGTTATGAGAATTTTCGTTATAACTCCTCCATTTATGAAGCTGGGAAAATGACATTTCGCAATATTTCCACCCGTTAACAAAAAAATACTTACAGTGAAAATGACGAAGATCGGGTTGCTATAAGCTATAACCTCCATACAACTGATTGTTCAGATTCGAGATTCTTTGTTATAACTTCTCCATATATGCAGCTAGAAACATGAAATTTCGCAATATTTTCACTAATTACCAACAGAAAGTTTACAGTAAAATTAACAAAGAGCAGGTCACTGTAACCTATTTATATCCTCCATACAACTGATTGTTCAGATATGGGGTTTTACTGTAAAACTCCTTTATTTGGACTGCTAAAACAGATACATTTCGTAAGCTATTCTATAAATAATAATACAAAGTCTACTGAGAAAATCGTCAAAATCTATGCTGTATAAGCTTTATCTCGGAAACCTGTGATTGTTCAGATACCAGTTATTACGATATATCTCCTTTATGTAGGAGTCTAAACCCATTAAATTATGTTACCGGTTTACATACCGATCACACAGCAGCGAAAATTACTTAGATTGGTGCTATATAAGGTATATCTTCCATACCTCTGACTGTTTAGATATGGTTTTTCATAAATATATGTACCTCCTCTGTCTATGTATTCTGTAAATATATAATTTTTTTCAAATACAGTAATCTGCTAAAGTAAAATTTTCAGATGTTCATGAAGGGTGTGAAGCCTTCGGCATAGCCGAAGACAGCGCTGCTCTTACTTGTTTTTATTTAAAAATGGTTCATATTATAACAAAACACTTGCTCTTTATTATATTAAAATATAATGGACTTTAGGAATAAAATTTTAGTGAAACTTCATACCTTTTCTAAGTATCATACAAAGTTTGAAACTTGGATTTATGTGGAATTTGTTATAATGTAAACCATTCTTAAATAAAAAAAATATGTAACATGAAAAGCTTTGTGAATATTTACAAAATGATAAGTTTATGTAAAAATAAGTTAATTAAAATAAAAAATTAAGTAAAGACAACAATTGTTGGCCATTAAAAACTAAATTTAAGAAAATTAATTGAATAAAAATCAAAAATGAAATAAAGTGTTTACATGACAACAAATTGCCCACCATTGAAAACAAAATTCAATATTTCAATTTTCATTCTGTCCTGAACATCTTCTTCATATTTCAAAATATAGCTGTCCAAAACGGTTAAAAAATCAGAATTACGGCTAACTGGTTATGGAGCAGCTTCTGATTTTTTTAACCAGTCGCTTACGGCTCCACACAGAGTGTCCAATCGCTCCTCATCTTTTTTTCCGATTTAATGCTTTAGAAGGGGTCACAATTGGCTCCTCTTCGGGTTGGAAGCCAACAAGAGACGTTGACGGTGATTGTTGAACCACTGTAGGTAGCCCTGTCTGCTGCGTCTGCTCAATTTCGGGCTCTTCATCGAAGCAATATTCGAAAAGAGGTTGCGACTCATATACATTAATGTCATGCTCAGGCTTCGGTGTGCATTTTTCACGATGTACGGTGCTACCAAACGTTGTGTTGCCAAATGTCCTTAAATAATATACATTAGAGCTGCAAAAACATCGGAGCACTATCGATAGTATCGATGTTTAAAT